GGTAAATGTCAAAGCAACTGTGTGCACTGTTTTACAATCTTGCCCACAGTGCTGTGAATCTTCAGTGTGAAGATTTGCATGAACACGCTATGCATTTTACAATTGCAACCTGTCATTCAGGGGTGTCAAAAATTGTGGGCAACTAAGGCTAAAAATTCTGACCAAGTCTGTGAAGAGTCTGGAGTATCTCTGGAGCATCTCCTGCATTCATTCTTAAAAACTAGAAAAGCAGCAGTGTTTGAAACCAGTCCTGACGTGCCAGAGGTTATGCGAATGCAAGATGTGAGGGCCAGCGCAGTCTTTGGAGGATAAAAAAAAAAAGGATGTGGAGGAAGGGATGATTCTTTGCCTAACTGTATTTGAGGAGCACATTACTGCTGTGTGTGTATCATAGAACGCAAAGCTCAGCTGTAAAACAGTGTCCCCTATTTTCTCTGCTGCTGTAGGAAGTACTGTTATAACCTTGTACCAACAATGTAGCAAATATCCATTGGAAACCTTATGGGAGAGGAATATGATTTTATTTAAAAAATTAAAAAAAAAAAGTGAAACAAAACAGTCACTCGGGTTTGCAATCTCATAAGCAGCAGCATGTGTGGATGTGTCCAGTGCCTGAGATGTTTGCCCAGCAGCCAAGCGCCATAGCAGGGGCGTTTAAGCTGTGTGTCCAGCAGTTTGGTGCTATGTTACTCCTGTCCAGATACTACTAAGTCCAGAATCCCTTGTAGAGGACAAGAACATGAGCTGGCAGGTCTTCTGACCTCTGCCTAGGTTGGCAGCCATTCTAGGTTTCACATATGCCTTTGTGTACCCTTTTGGAGGTGACAGTGGTCCCACTCTGCATTATCAATGTTCTTTGTCTCCAGATCTGTGTGTCTTCTGAAATCACAGGGGGTCTTGATGACCTGCTAACATGGGTTCCCTTAACACAAGCCCTTCAGAGAGCCCTGTTCCTGCTCTATGTTCCTTTTCAGGCCTCCACACTCAGCCACTCCCTTTCTCCAATCAAACCAGTTGTAGCCTTTCTGATTACAGTTCCCTGCATTGCCTCATAGATTGGGTTTAGATGCCTTTTTAAAAGTTACCTAGAAAGTGAAAGGAGCATGAAGGCAGCTATTTTTTTACGGGACTGTAAGCTACTTCTGTTGTATTTTGTGCTTATGTTTTACGCATTTGACATTATCAACTTTCCAGGTTAAATTTGACACTTTTTAAGCTATCGGAAAAACCTCAATGAACTTGAGATCTGTAGTGCTAATTTTGCTTTCTGTATCTTCACACACCTCCACCACTTAACTTTCAAGTTTTAGTGTCTTGGCCTTTCTACATAAGCCTGTTTGTAGGTCTGTCCTTCCTCACCTACTTCTCAGGCTCTAAGGAAGAGGAAAGGAATCATCTATGTCTCTGTTAATTCTGCTTATTTCCTGGAAAAAAAGGGGGGGGGGGGGGGAAGAGAGAGAGGGGGAGAGAGAGTGAGTAATTTGGGAAGACAGATCTGATGGATCTGAGTTTTTGTTGACCAACCTAATTAAAACTAAGGGTACCTTGAAACAGAGTGTGAAAGGTGGGGTGAAACTTGGTAGCATAGCTGTACACTATTCATTTTAGTATTTCCAATTCCAGTGTGCTGAGTATATCAGACCACTGAGGTTTTTTTTTTTTTCCCCATTGGTCCATTGGCAATAGGGCATGTTGATCTATATGAGAAGACAAATACTACAATTTTGCTGGTAAATTTATTTATGAGATGCTTCTTCATCTCTTTTTGGCTTTGAAAGTCCTGAAGTTGCCTGTATCCAAGAAATTGGCTAACTGAATGTGAGATTTAAAGTTCATGGAAACTAACCTTAGTTACAGTAGAGAAAAAAAAAAAAAAAAAAGAACCTTAGTTACAGTAGAGAAAAAAAAAAAAATGGGCAATAGGTCAAAACTTAATTGTATTTTCAGAATTTTTACCAGAAAAGGATTAATATATATAATGTTGAGTTTTCACAAATATGTCTTGTTCCTGGTCAATGTTCAGTAAGTAAGGTATGAAACAAGAAAAATGGTCTTTTTTTTCATAATTTCTACTAGATTTTAACTGTAGAGTTCATACTGTCACCATCATTTTCAGTGCCTGCTAATTTTCAGTAACCTTGATTTATATCCAGTTACATTTGCAAGTTCTGTTGGTACTAGTGTGAACGCTGCTCCTACAGAATCTATGAAAGTCAGACAGAAAGTGTATCAAGCGGGACTGTTAAAGGCTGGGGCATCCAAAGTCAGTGAACTTGTTAAAATAGAAAAGGAATTGCTCAAAGCAAACTGAATTTCAGTATTGGGTGAAACATTCCTTTATGTAAGTTGCTTTAAGTGTCACCTTCTGCTTTTTTTATAGGAAGACTTGCTTTAGTATTTAGTTTAGTTTGTTTGTAGTTTTAGAGTAAGTGAAAGATGACCCAATTTACCAAAGACTGGCATTGGGAATTGTTTCCATTATGGTAAGTAAGTTTGGGAGAGTTCCTGACAACTGTTCCTTATCAAATTAATTGTTTTGTGAATCATTTGCTGTTGGTTCCTCAATCTCTTAAAGTCACATAGTGCTTGGCAGGTTCTTGAGGGAGGACTTGTATAGGAAGGGTCAGAACTGATAACATGAGACTGGAGTAACTACCCTGAAATAGGTATTCTATGACTAGGGATCATCTGCTGACTATGGTTTTTCTGAAGGTGCAGGTCCCTGGTGCTTGCAGAACTGCTGTGTTGTGCAGAAGAGTGGAAGCTAGTAATACTTTGGTGAGGATACTGGGAGTTTTTAATAATTTAAGTTCTGTGTGGTGAGATAGTTCTGCTTATATCAATGCATTAGGTTGTCAGCTCAGCATCCCTGAGAACAGTCATTATGCTTCCTTGCTACTGTGGTTTGTGACTAACATGAGTTTCTTGCCTTACTGGAGGCTGAAATTGTGTCCATCTCTGTTCCTATGAAACTGGAACAAGTGTCTCTTGATGATAGTTTACCATAGCAAGGTCGTTTATCTTCAAAATATGCACAAATAAAAGGTAGTTTCAGTAGTGCTGTGTACTTAATGATCCAGGTATAGTTGGTTGGGCATGGGCTGTAGGCTGTTCTCAATAAAGTAGAAACCAACAAATTCCAGGGAAAAAGAGAATTCAGTACTCTGTAAACTACGTTCTGTGGAATGAATGACACACATGATTTTACTCTGGGAAACAGAATGGTTTCTGAACAAAAGCCTTTCAGATGTGTTATGGGTATATGCATCTCCTTCTACCTGTTCTTAGTTAAAGGTTGCCTGCCCTGGGTCTTCCGTAGTTGGGCCCAATTCACTTGACCATCCTTTCCCTTAAACTAAAGGAAGGGGGTGGCTATGATAATTTGAAAAGTAATATAAGCATGTTTTATAATGAATGTCTAAAAATGTTAACCAGTTCCTGGAAGGTACAGCTAATCTTTTGTGTCCTGTGCAGATAATCGTATGTGATCTGAATAGCTTCCTAGATGCAAATTTGATTTCATTTGTTCATCTCTTTTTCTCTAGGCTCACTGAAGGGAATGTGGATTGATCAAAAATAATGGTGAGTAAAGCTATAAGGTTATTTAGGTACTAAACAGCAGGTACTAAACTTGTCAGATTTATTGGTTGGTTTAGGCTTTTTTCTTGCTTTTTTCTTTTTTTTCCTGTCCAAAAAAATCAGTCATTGAGATTTTAATTCTTCGTAGGATATTTTCAGAGAACTGGAATGTTGCCGCAGTGTCAGCTTTCAGCTTGGGCTTCACTTGAAAGAAACTTTGAATTAACTATATATTCTAACAGGAGTAAATGCTTTTAAAGTGGTAAAATTCATGTCCCATAATGTAATTTTGTTCTGCTCAGAGACTCTAATTGTGTAATTGTATTAACTTGGAGTAGTTGTCTTAAAAGTTGTATTTGTTAGAACAGTAGAATTGGAAGCAAGGTAACATAACCAAATGTCAGTTACCAAATAGAAAAAAAAGTACATTCAAAATTTCTGAGGATGACAATCAACTTCTGGAGCTGTGATTTTTCCCCTCCTCCCCCAGTGAATGAAATAAAGATATTCTGATAGTTAAGATGTATAACAGAGTACTGTATTCTGTTCTCAGCTCTGCCACAAACCTTTGGCTTGTTTTGTTGCAGCTTTCCAGGTCTGTTTTTTTCCCATCTTCATAACAAGAATAAGCCTTTCCCAACAGTGTGAGCATGGATGGTCAAGCTCATGATCAGCTGAAATATCTGAGTGCCTCAGAGAGAAAGAGATGGTGACGTGTGTTGAATTTCCATTTTCATGATCTACTCGCTACTTCTAACATAGGAGTTGAAAATTGTCACTGGAAGATTATTTCTGAACTTGATCAACTAAAGGGTTAAGGTAATTAGAATAAGATGAGAAATACAGGCAGAGAAAAGAGAGGAAGGGGTTAGAAAATATGGTGTATCCTCATGTTTTTGTATGTGAGAAGGAGAAACCAAAGAGAAAAAAGTTTTCTCTCGTCTCTCATTGAAGTACAGGAGAATGATAATAAATTGTTCTGGCACTAGCTATGCAGGAGCGCACCTGCATTACCTTCCAATCCAGGCTGGCATCAACCTTAAAACAAAAAAATCATGTCTTAACAGCTACTGTGACTAGGTGATACCAGGTGAGTGTCACTGATGAAAGACCAGATCAGTGACAAGGCGACAGTTGTTGAAGGATGTCTATACTGTGGATAAGTGGGAAGAAATGAGTAGAAGTACCTAAGCTGTGTGATTTTTATAACTGTCATAAGTGCTTTTTTCCTCTACAGCACTGATAGTTTCATAGTTAATTAGGTGACAGTTTGCGGTGCCTCTTTGAATTGTGACCTGCTATAGCAGAATATATTCTCTCTGTGTATTCAGGTGCTACCTCAACATTGTCATGCTATATGCTGGAGCCACAGTTAAGAAGCCCCATAGCTAATTAACACTGATATATTTTTGGATGCATTGCTTCTGAATAAGCATATAGTTCAGCATTTCTGTCTCATTTCCTTAGCCAGCTTATGGACATCTACAGTTAGGTATAAAATCTTACAGAGCAAGGGATTATTGCAGTTTGTGAAGCCAGCTAATTTTGTCCATTAGAGTCAGTCTTTTAAAGCAATGGACCAGTTGGGCATTTTAATGTTTAATTTATTTTATTCTTTTTCATTTTGGGATTCCAGATCCTCCTCCTGACATTCAAGAAGGTGGTCCTGTTGCTTGCTCATAGGCTGCAAGACGTGGATGTTTCTCTTCTAGCAAGCAAAAACCTGTCCTTCACTTCCATGGAGCTGAACGAACAAAGATCTCTGGACTTCCTGTTTCAACCACCTTACCCAACATTTGATTCACCAGATGACCTCTCCCACAGAAGTACCCCACTGTTTTATCAAAACTCAGAGGCAGAGTAACAGAAATTAGCATTTGTTTCCCTGAAGAAATGTCTTCTGTGCCAGCTCTTCATCCAGCTTTCTGCATTCTGTTTTAAGATGAGAAATACTTTGTGATCAAATGCAAGTGGAAGCTGGTGTTCTTAATTGATTCTCCTTCTTTATTTTAGGAAGGTTAAGTACTTCACTGTGTCATATTGGAATTCCTAGCAGATAAATTGTCTGCATGCATTGGTATGTTAAACTGTCTTGACATGTATGAAGAGTTGCAGATGGAAAACCAGAACATATGTTCTGCTCTGACATGAAGAAGAAACTTGCCAAACAGCTGGGGACATCCCATACAGGTATTTTCTAGTCCATGACCCAGGCTTGATTTTGTAGATAGATGTCTCAATGTCAACTCACATAAAGCAGCTAATGCACAGGAACAAATGCAGAATCACCTTGTCTATAGTGTGTAAATGCATTGTCCCAGTCTGTGATCAAAATGTATATTTGCATGTGTAAACCTATGTAAGTGCTGGATATGAAGAGCTTTCACCAGAAGGAGAAATTACTCTGCATCATTTCATTTTTAGCAAAGAGAAAAGAAGCTTTCAGGGCCTCTGGGGTTACAGGTTAACTATTAGGTTTATGTTAAATCATTCCCTCCCTCTGGCTTTTTATGAGTCCCTAGCAGCAAAAGGAACAAAAACATTCTACAGTAGAAAAGATGGGGCAGAACTTCTGTCTTTAATAAAGAAATCAACTTCTGATGGGATGGAAGAGACCAGAGGTGTAAAGTCACAGTTTGTCCACTCAGCTGCCTTGGCAGTTTCAGCTTTTCATACTGCTGATGGAACTGGCTTTTTGATTCTTCTGTGACTGAGAACTGAGATGACCCGGGTGTTTCCATCATCTAGGTAGAAATAGGCCCAGGAGAATGGACTGTTAGCCACATAAGAGGGGTGAGTTGAGAGAAAGCAGAAATAGTATGGGCCTTTTTCTGGTTCCTCTTACTCCTTCCCAAACTAAGGCGCAATTTGTTGTTGTTATGTTTACACAAGATTCTTTGTCTCCATCATTTGTCATTATATAGGATGTTTTCTGTCATTCTGAGATGGGAGCCTATATTATTTACATGCTCCCTGCCATGGTATTCTATATGGCAAGTAAGATTTCTTGGCAAAAAAACCCCCAGCACTGGGATATGTATTCTATTCCACTTCAAATCTGGAGCTCTTCTTAGTGCACCTTATTCCAAGCTTGTGATTTAGAAAATGTGATTTACTAGCTTAAAATAATATTTTCAAATCTGGATCAAATAAAAGTATATAGGTTCTGTTAATAGATTTGGGGAGGTAATAGCATGGTTGGGGGGGGTGGTTTAGATTTCTTGGTTTGTTCTGTTTTTTCTTTTAGATAACTGCTGGAGAGAGCCAGACAGCCTGAAAAAGGCTGAAAAAGCCAACAATGGAAATCCTTCTTAAATCTTAATGATAGATTGCAAGGGCAGCATTCTGATATTTAAAATGTGATGACATTTTATGGGACCAAGTTCCATAGCAGAGTAAGGACAAGTGTTTATGTTGATCCTAGTCTTCAGAGTAGAGTTGAGTTAAGTTCAGACTTGCATTGTAACAGTAAGATCTAATGACAGCTTTACCCATTTTTTGTTTCCGTGAAGAAAAGATCAGACAGTAAGCTAAAGAGTGGTGGGCAAGACACTGTGTATCAAAATAATGGCAACTGTAATGAGCAGAGATGTGCACTAAAATTGCGTGTAATGTGATAAGCTGTGTGGTAAGAGTTACATTGATCTTCATGAGGCAACCACCAGCTTGGCCTGACTTCTTTCAAGAACACAGGATTTCTTTGCTGAATATGGTCTGAATTTTCTGGTATTAGAGGCAACTAGAAAAGCACACTTCCTTTTAGGGTCTCCTTATGTTGAAACCAATGGGATTTAATACAGATGTCTGTAGAAGCAGGATCCATCGCTAAGTGATGGAAAATACTGTCAATATAATAGAATTATAAGTGGTTGGGAGGTGTCTGGTATAAGAAACATCTGATTTTTAGATCTCGGAAATTTCCTTTTCTTCCTTCTGCCCATAATTATTCTTCTGATGTTAGAGCTAGCAGTTGTTTCTTGGATAGCTTGTTGACAAAATATTTGGGGGACAGGAAGGTATTTTTGTTTTCTGTGGACATGTACAAAAACTAAGAAATTGTCTGACTAGAGAGTAGACATTTTGTAACCCTGTATTGTAACAAAAAAACCCTGCTGATATTTTTTCTGACTCCGATCCATGACAATGTAATACATTAGTTTTCAAGTTTAATTTTAGAACATAATATTTTTAGCAGGGCTAAATATCTGTGGCCTTCACAGAAGTAATACTCCAATAGTGCATGCCCAGAAGACCCCCCTTGCCGTACCTTTCTGGCCAGCACCTTTATAAAACTGCTGTGTTAGGAAATGCTGCCTCAGCCTACTTACTTTTTCTTGCTTCACTTTTTCTCTATATTGGTTGGAAATCTTCCCATGTGAAAGATTACAAAAACAAGGGGCATGTGCAATAGATCATATATATATACATATATATATTTTAATACTTGTGGACAAAATGATGTTACAAGTTGTTTGAAAACAACAAAATCACCAATGTCTTCCATTTTGAGATGTGTATAGTTCCATAAGCATTAGTGCTTTGTAGCAAATTGTAGTGCCATGTTAGGATCAGTGCATGAGCCTAGTAGTATTTTTACAATTTCAGAGTGACAAATTTATTAATAAACAGTGATGATAATGTAATTAACAATAGAAAGGATACAATAGAAATGTCACAAACGTGGTCTAAACATGCAGTATCCTCCCTTTGACAATGGCAATGCTATCTTTAGGCATGGAATGCATTCACTTAATGGGCTTCATAGAATCATAGTTGACTTCTTGTTTTTAGTCTACCTGTCCGACTGCAATAGTAAGCTAGTGTACGTAAGCGTCCAGAATTCTCATCTCTGTCAGTGGGATTCTTTACTTTTTAGTCTTTGTTTAAGGTGTTTTTTTCCATGCCCAGTATTTTCAATTTTATTATTACCCATCCTGTGATATACTTAGAAAAGTATGAATATGCTAAGGAGTTTGTGTGCGTTTTGTACACATCTCTGCTACCTTAAGAAGATAATTTACAAAAACTGTTAATTATTCAATTTTTCTTTTCAGACCTGACTGTAGAATTGTTATAACTAGTTAAACATTATCCTCCTTATATAGTAAGTCAATGGTTGCAAAATGCTATCTGCCAGTTATACGTAGAAGACTTTTATCCATTATTGCAGGAATGGGGAACCTTTTTTGGCTGAAGTCCTATTGAATTTTTTAACACGTTTGGTGGATCCTGCATTTACATACATCTTAATGTTAATAATAATAACAAAGAATATAATTAAGGTCAAGGGCTGTTGAAAAACAACATTGCAGACTGTATCTGTGCAGCAGGCTATCTCTAGCCTATGGATCAGAGATTCCCCACCCCTGTATTATTGAGAATTCAGTATCTTGTATTTTAGGTAACTTCCCGTATTGCTTTCCAGCTCTAAGCTCAATTTTAATAATTTCTATCTCTCCCTCTGCTTTTTTTCAGAAGGAACGTTTAGATCAGGGGTAGTCCAAATGATTTAGCACTCAATGGGCAGCTTGGACTGGTCAAATAAGAGGCTGGTATGATTCCTGAGATGTGTGATGCTCTGTGCATGGCATCCTCTGATTTCCTGGGAAAAAGTCTTTTATTTGGTGCCAGTGTTGCTCTTCACCCATTTCTCTCTTTTAGAAGAACGAAATTATCTTTCAACTTAGAGAGGATACTGCATCTTTTTTTCCTGAGACCTGCCTGTAAATGGCCATTAGGGGGAAGGGAGGGAATGGGTAGCTTGGTTTTGTAATTTTGATACAATATATCTCTAAAGTGATTAATCAAGAAGCATGTACTTTGGTGCAAAACCAGTATTCTGTGCAGAGTTAATGTATGTAACAGGGAAAAAAAGAAAAAAAACCAAACAACCAACCCTCTGCATCTTAATACATTTCCAAGAAAATTGGACAGGCAGGCCATTTACAGCAGAGCTCTGGGGGACCTGTGCTGAGAGTTAGGTTCAATTCTAACTGGAAGTAGCTGTACCATTGAATAAACTAGTTTAGTGCTTGGGAGAATCAATTGAAAAATACCTCTGAAACTGGAATGCAAAATAGCACAGTATGTAGGGGGAAGAATCCCTGATGCAAACAAAGCCATAAGATGATTTAATAAGAAAATAGAACTTTAGTAGCAATAACTGTTTTGCATGTGATAGTAAATAACTTGCATTAGCAAGACTGTACAGTAGAGTAAGTGGGTAATAACCAAATAAGTTTGTGGCGCTCTGTGCTGCAGGGAGTTGTGTGAAGAGTCACTTCCTGAGAAGATGGGTGAATTCCTCTTATGTTCCTCTCATTGGAGGGAATTTGGCATTTGAATACTTAGTCAATGAAACATATAAAAAAAAAATAAATAGCTTTGTCACACATATGAAGCGCTGTCAGTGAGTGCTGGAGGAAGGGCAGACAGTTGTTGGTTTTTTTTTTTAAAGGATAGCAGAAGTTTCCCTGTTTTTTTTGTTTTTTTTTTTTTTCTTTTATGTAGTCTAGCACTTGCTCTGTTTCTCTGAGAAGAAACTAAACCCTTCCAAATACTGGACTGTGAAGAGAACCTGATTCTGAAGTTAGAAGCTTTTATTGCGGGAAGTACTTTTTGTTTTCTTTGTTTTAGAAGATCAATCTGAGATGGTCTTTTAGTAAAAAAATTGAAGAACACGTGACACTTAATGTATTTGTACATCCCAAGCACAACTGTAGAATTCTAAAAATGTTACTTTGCAGCAAAAAATAACTTTTAACTGTCTGTTTCAGGCCGTAATTGATTTCTGTTGGTGCCTGAAGTTTTGCAGAGGCAAGTACTGTGGAGCTTCTGGTAACACAAAGGGTTATTGATCTACAGCTTTAGCCTCTGCACCTAGCAAAGTATTTGCTATCAAAGGGTTGCATAAAAGAGCCGCAGGAGTTCTAAAATGTCCGTAGTTGACACTGTTTTCAGTGCAGATATGTAGCCTGTAGAGACAATATGGCCCAACAGATAATGCTGTATTCTGAACAGAATTATTACATCAGAGGTTTAGGTCTATCTGGCTGGATTTCTTCTAGAAAGCTGAAGTCATTTGGACTGTAACTTAATAGCTGAAGGGAGGCTTCTAATGTTCCAAAATTATGGAGGTGAAACCCTTTGGCTCTTCCTAAGCTGATAATGGGACTGTGAGGGCTGTGAGC